TCTATCATAGCTACCTTTCAAGATGGCAMTGAGAGCAACTATTATAAACAAGTTCAATATGTGTGCACACCTCAAGCCACAGTAGTTTTGATTCAGAGTTCATTCGCAGTCCTCTTTGAAGCAGTGCTCTGAAATAGCAACCTTGACATAAATATACATTATTATAATACATTTTATWATTACCATGYATACCTGGCAGCAGAAGTGTTCTTGCTGTCTTCAAACTCCCACTTGGCAGCCATAACCCAAAAAGCTAAAAAATATTCACCAAACCAACCATTTTAATCCMTACTTGTATCATTGATAAAAGCATTGTTAAAGATAATAGTAACTAGACTCACTAGGGTTATGTGGATGATACTGTAGAAGTTGACCAAATACTTTATTAAGAGACTTTGTGCTGCCCTAAACAACAATACAAAATCATCTTTTTATAAGACATCTAAAGGCTTACAATTTAAAGCAAGAGATTMTTCAAGTGTGCAATTTAACAACCTACTTACTGCTTTTTTGCAATATTCAATATACTGCAGCCAGAGCTTTGTGTCATGCTAAAATCAAACAGTGAGAATATGAACTTCAGTTAAAATAATGTGATATATAACAGTAATCAAGCTAACTGGGGGTAAGAAGTTTACACATTTTAAGGGTGTATTTAGTTCCCAAGGCAGGAAAAGGSTGAAATGGATAATTTKTATTTTTGTACAAACCTTAAATTTCTGGAGTGCTTTCTGTGAACACAACAAAGTAAACAATGAGATAAAAATTCCAAGAATTACTTAATTAAAATGAAAGGAATAACAATGTTTCATACCTTGAATAGTGCATGCAATCGTCTGACCATTTCGTATTCACCCTTTGTATTTTTCTTCAAACCAATGTTCTGTAAATATGTAAAGTAAGAGTTAGTTACCGAGAACGGAGGCANGGATCACAGTTTTTTACCAGCTTTCTTTTCTTTTTTAATGTATCCAGGTTGATCTCATACTGAAATAAAAGCTTAAATTTATGAGATAATGTAATGATATCTAATCTGAAGACATGTAATATGAACCATGCTAGAGCGGATTTCGTATGAGTGGGAAACGGACGGTACTGTACTGTGTCCGTAATCGTACTGTAACCAAATTCTAGTGCCCCATTGTTTCACCAAMATTVTGCAKRYCAGGTGCGGTAACTGTGCGGTAACCGTGCGGTAACGGTGTCCCACTCATACGAAATCCGCTCTATGCTTGCTCCAGTCTGATCTAGCACCAGTTGTACAAATCCCAAGGTTTTTTCCTCTTTTGCCCAGAATAACCTCTTTCTCAGCATGATAACTAGCCTCTATTTCTAAYTGTGATCTGCATTGTATTTGCTGATTGAATATCCAGAGTACGGTTAAACTATTTTTGTTTTCATTTTGGAATCAAAGTTGTCGATTGCCTTTATTTCCCTCCCAAATCACCAATGAGCTTAAATCCTCTGTGTCTTCCCTTTGTTTCTTAGCAATGTTTGCTGTTTAAATCTATTATTGATCAAAACAGCATTGCCAGATAGCAGCTTTTTAGAGGCAAAAAAGAGTCAAACGGAAGCAGTATGTGATTTTATAGGTTACTCACTTGGATATATCGGATAAAATCTTGTTTTTCTGGAGCGTGTTTTTGTAAGCGATATTCAAAATCAGTCCTTTTCTTTATTATAGATCTGAAAGAAAATACTGTAAGCTTACCTAGTATCAGACCCGGGTATCATAGCAGCCTTACAAATAGGCGAAGTTTAAGTTAAGTCAAATAAAAACAACAACTTAAGCTTATAAACATTGCATTGCGAAAACCAGACAGAAAACAGACACTGCAATGCAGTGACATAATAACACCTCAACGTCCCGATTTCAAAAATATAATTTACCTAATTTCCTTTCTAGAGAATACATTCAACCTCTCCATTTCTTCAAGTTCAGGGAGCATTCCCTCCAGATTGTGATGCACGTGTTCCGCCATCTTTGAATCTCAAAAATAACACCGCTGACAAAGACGACTGACGTGACTTCTAGAGCTCAGGAGTCCCACATGGGGAGGGGAGTACAGTGTCATGCTCTTACATAACAACTACTACGGACGGTTGAAGTTATCTAGGTATCTGATATTGATGATACGATAACAGGACATTGCAGAGATATGTGTAACACTCTCATCGGAAAATCAGCCTCAAACTCATCAGGTTTTTACTACGTCAAGTCACTATGACACGTGACAGCTTTGGCACATGAACAACACTGAGTGATGGCCGCGAGTGGTTGCGGTCTTACTGGTCTTAAAAAATGAACTAAATAAACTACACTTTTACTTGTTTCTTTGTTTGTTTGCTTTTTTTGGAGTGTTATTTTGTTCATCCGCATTTTGTTTTTACGTTTCAAATGTAATATGGCTTCATTAATAAATAAGCATACTATTGTTTGTCATGGTTCAACGATGCAGCGGAATCCCAATGCATCGAATAGTGCACAAAATCCCACATGGTCCAAGCGTATATGTAATAAAAATAACAAAATGTTTATCACAATCTCGGACAGCTCTTTTATCTTGCAATGAAATATGCTGTATAAGAAGAATTTTGTATTGAATTAAAATTTCACACKGTTAATGTATTTGCTATTTTGAATTCATCYTTTGTGGGGGCTTCTATGCGTGCGAGGCATTGTATGACTTATGGTCAAAGAATTCTAAAAAATGATCTTGTGAGCGAATTATCAATATAGCAGTAAACAAAAATAACGTCCATTATTAAAAATGAACTAAAAAGTTTAGTAATTCATTGAAACATATTCAAAGTGAAATATTTTTATCAAGCTTAGTGATTAATCCGAATAATATTGCTCTGCAAGAATGATCTATTCATTGAAGCTATTCAGGCATACAAACTAAGCTTTTTTCACCAATCAGCCGACACCAAGATGATTAAGAATAAAAACGTCATAGAATRAAATGCTYACTTGGCAGCATTTTTATCTTTGAGTAAAGAGGTAGAAATGGCCGACTACGACGGCGAAGAGGTCCGCAAAAAATGTCGACATCTRAAGTTTACGATCTGTCGTAAGATACGCGTAGAGATCAATCCGGTCGTAACTTTCATTTCGGCTTTGTTGATATGGGCGTTTGTGGTATATTGCTTGAACTGGACGCAGCAAGCTAACGATATCTTGCCAACTTGGAAAAAATGGATCACCCTAACTTGGACCTGGTTGTACATTGGTACCCAAGATGTGTGGGCAGTCTTTATTTTGTATCTACTCTTCTCCAAGTATGGAAAACTTAAACTTGGAAAATCTGATGAGAAACCCGAATTTTCGGACACATCATACTTCACAATGCTGTTCGCAGCCGGTGTTGGTGTTGGCCTGTTTTACTATGGTGTAGCAGAACCTGTGTACCACTACCAACCAAGCCACGAAACATTGTGGGCAAACCGTTACCAACAGAGGTAAGAATCAACAAAAAACGATGGATTGTTTTTCAAAGTATTTMCATGCAAACACTATAATCCCTTAATGCTTCGCTTGTGAATCTGAAAGTACTTATCAATCGATTGGACCAGTATGGGTTGTTCTTTAAACTCTTAAACGCAAATGTCGCCAAAAACGCAGGGTAAAAATACAACAAACAGTTAATAGATGAAACAAACAGTCTTGAAGAGCCACTAAAGATATTTGGAGATATTTGACACAAAGGGCATTAACCATAAAATAGCATCGGAATGTCGAGTGTTTACGGAATCATGAGAACCGTGAATCACTATACATGACGGCGGATCTTACACGGCAAAAGGATGAAAAAACACTCAGTCCGCACGTTAGTAACTACTAACTTTTTWTTTCTGTTCACGTTTAGAGCATTTTACTAACTTAAAAAGATAAAACTCTCATAAAAATGCATGACCACACTTTCATCTTAATACCGCGTTGAGTCTTGAAGTTTCAGGCACATATAAAACTTGCTTTGAATTTTCTTATGTAACGTTTTCGGTAAGAATGAAATCAGTGATAACCTCCAATAGTCAGTTACTGTCGGTAGGAGAAAAGATCATCAAGCCATTATGTAAAATAGTAAAAATTATTTCTTTTTGAGCTAGCAATAGTAAAAATTATTTCTTTTTGAGCTAACAAACCAATCTATGTTTATGAATGACAAGTATTAAAGAAAAAAATACGTGACAAAAAAATACARCACACAGTTGGAGAATTAAAGTGTTGACAAYGCAAAGGCCACTTAATATGGAAAGAATATGCTAGCATGTTCATTGAAGTATATCGTGAATAATCTCGAAAAAGACTTATGACAATTGAAAGAGCTAATTGTTTCACTCATTTTCTYATAAAGCACAAGAAATCAGTAACTTTTTAAAAAGGGCAATACTAGTGACAATTATTGGATAACTAATATAACTAATAAGCAAGGCCATTATATGTATGGCATATTTTACATYGGCAATATGACAATTCAGAGGGATTTTTTGTCAAGTACCACAACTGCGGTATGCTATTGTCCATTGTGTTAAGGTCGATTAAGACGGTACAACTTTGGCTACAACCATCGCATGTAACCTGCTCGCGTCATCCCTACGACATGACTTAAGTCAGAATTACACGCCTAYGATATTTTGCCTACGACTCGCCTAAATGACGCGCTTGAATTRAATGCTATAGTTCCTCGTCCGTGAAGTTTTTATACTCTTTCTTTGGAGTCTTTTCGTCGTCGACATTTTGAAATCGCAATACTACCTCCCCCACAGTCACCCCACGGTCCCCCACACGGTAGCGAAATTGTTCGTTTTTCTCGACGATTGTCGTAGTATTTTAAAGAAAGTTTTAAAACTCTTCAACTTTTTTCTTGTCGCACACGACTGAGTTGCATGAGTTGAAGAGTAGATTTACACGACACAACTCGTGTCGTAGGGATGACGCGAGCAGGTCGTATGCAATGGTTGTAGGCAAAAGTTGTGTCGGCATTTACTATATGCATCTACGTTTATGAAATGAATCCAAATTTCGACAAGAATAACAAATATATAATGCGGAATTTTAAGTTGAYATACTTTCATAAGTAAGCAACGATTTTGAAAAATACGAAGGTCACTCAGTTCGAATCCAGTTTGTTTTCTTTTCTCTTTTGATGAGGCACAGTGAAATGTRACTTTTTCAAATCTAGTAGAATTCTGTGGATTAATTCATTCACTTCTTCACGACATCGCAATGGAGTATTACATTTGTGTATTGCAAATATATTGTTGATGCATTGCATTTTGTTTGTATTTTKTATAGGTATTCAGACAACCAACGAGCTCAAGATGCCATGACTATTACGATCTTTCATTGGGGTTTGCATGCATGGGTGGTGTACACCTTGATCGGTCTTGTTCTTGGATTCCTGTCCCACAACAAAGGTATGCCAATGACCATGAGATCCTGCTTCTATCCTCTTATTGGCGAAAAGATTTTTGGTACGTTCGGTGACGTCATTGACATCCTGTCCGTTGTGTGCACGATGTTTGGAGTTTGTACMAGTCTTGGTCTTGGTGTCATCCAGCTYAACAGTGGATTTCATCGTATGAATAAGGACATCCCAGAAAGCAAAGAGACTCAGGTTATYATCATCTGGTGCATCACAGCYTTGGCTACCATATCTGTTGTCAGCGGYCTTAAGCTGGGTATTCGTCGTCTCAGTGAACTTTGCTTTACGATTGGGATGTTCTTGTGGTTTATCGTCTTCTTCTACGACGAGACCTGGTACCTCCTCAACGTGTTTGTCCAAACTTGTGGCCATTACATTCAGTGGTTGATTCAGCTTGGATTCCACACCGACGCATTTGCACAACTAGGAGATGCTCCCGATAAGAAGCAKGCAACCACATGGATGAATGACTGGACAATCTTCTATTGGGGATGGTGGATCGCCTGGTCTCCTTTCGTAGGAATTTTCATTGCAAGAATATCCCGTGGACGCACAATTAGGGAGTTTGTCCTGTACACCCTGACCATCCCAACCGTTTACTCTGTCATGTGGTTCTCAGTCTTTGGCGGTGCGGGTCTTCGCATGGAGAGAGCTGCTGCTAATGCAAACATCACCTGTTCCTCACCTCTTGGTGGCAAAAACTCCACCGAATCCTATCATGGTCTTTATCGTCTGTCGTGTCGGCCTTCAACCAGTATGTGGTTTGACGTGATGGATCAGTATGGTGGACTTGGACCGTTCCTCTCTGGAATGTCCATAGTTGGCTTAATTCTWTACTTTGTGACGAGTTCAGACAGCGGTTCTCTTGTGATTGACAGCCTCTCAGCCAATGGTCATCCAGATCCTCCAGTTCTTCAAAGAATCTTCTGGGCATTTACCGAAGGTGCGACGGCTACTGCTCTACTCTGGACGGGGGGTAATGATGCCCTTGCAGCTCTGCAAGCAGTGTCCATTTGTTCTGGTCTTTTCTACACGCTCATTCTCAATTTTGTGTGTGTAGCGTTATGGAGGTTGTTGAAAATGGAAGTCGGTGAAATGGATCCAGATGGTCCCAGATGGAGACTCGGCATGTTTGATGTATTCTATCAGTGCTCTGGCAGCTTGTGGGCCAGGTTGTTGATAGCTCTCTTTGCTCCCTGGTATCCAATCGGTAATGCAGCAGGAAAGGTATACGGATCCAACCGTTACGTCGCCATGGTGTKCCTTGCAATTCCATTTTATGCTTGGATTCTCTTGGAAATCCTTCAAGTAGTTGAGGTTGGCCTGGCGTACGTTGGATGGGCTGTGCTGTTTGGKTTCATAGCTTACGGTACTGGAGTACGTGCGGAAATCCGAGAAAAATTCCACATCGTCGGCAACCTTGGAGAAGACATGTTTGGYATGATGCTGACCTACCCATTGGCAGCCTTGCAGATGGAAGAACAGATGAATGTGGAAGACTATCCCGGAAATGGA